AAGAAAGCAAATAAGCTTATTTCCAAAAATGTCCATCTTCACCACATGCTCACCTCGGAATGTGAAGGAAAGGGACAGGACCCAGCAGACAGAAGCCAAGTGCTGTGGCAGTACCGCCTGTCACCATGAACCAACTCCTGGTGGCCTGACAAACAGCAGCACACACAAATTTAAGTCCACAAGGACAAACCAAACGTTATGACTATAACTTTTGTTCCCTGAACGAGGTAGAACACATATAGTATGGGATATTACGGCTGCACATGGCACGTGTGAAGACACCTCCGTATTTATCTGTTACTTGCCCCAGAGACAAAGAGGTCCATTTCCGTCCTGGCGAACCAATTCCATATTTGAGCCACCACCAATGGGTGCAACCTATCATTCTCTCACAAGAAGTCCCCCTCTGGAAAGAAGGTCTTCCCCCAGGTTCAGGCAAAGTGGGACACGGGTGGCTCTAAAAGACAGAGTTGATTGCCAGAGCTGGCAACAAAATGCACAAGATTCAGGCTCATTCAGCGCTCTCCTGCTGTGGACAACCACAGAGAAAGGACAGGAGCAGACAGAAGACTTCTTCTCATCAGTCTTAAAAGGTGTGAAAACATCTTTAGTCAGGCCAAGCAAGGGCGTGATATCCCATACTATATGTGCTGTGTGCATTGACTGAAAGGGAAATTGCAACTGGATAAAGAAGTATCCACATTTGCTTTCATACTCACAGGATATTTATCAGTAAAATACCCGATCAGCGGTGATGCCAGACAGTATGGTAACGACAAACCAAGCATGATGAGTCCCACGTAGCCAGTCGAGAGACCAAACTAGATACAACAGAGAAGGAAAAAAATTATTCACACAAAGCACAATACATTTTCTTTCTATAGTTATTTGACTCTGTCAGAAGAGAGGAAATTACCGTGTTAATAGCAAACAGGGACAACGTGGCATCCAAGAAGCCCAGACCTGCACTAAGAGTGAATATCACATAGCAGATCAGGACTATTTTCACTTTGGTGAGAAGTCGAATAAATGAATCCTTCGAGGGATCTGCGTCTGAGAAGAATTAAAAATATAGCTCACAGTTACAATCTGAGGAAAATCATTACTTTATGACTGAAAATGAATAAATAATATGCTGAAATCTCCAACTGTTACCAATTTTTGGCAAGACGTATATGTTGAAAGGAACCATAATCAACAGAAAACATCCAAGAAGCATAAAAGGGACTTCATATCCAAATGACTGGTAGAACCACCCTCCCACCGGGGGCCCCAGAATAAGACCAAGTCCTGTGAAAATCTCCAGACTACCCTAAAGAGAAACAATCGCAGCACATTAAAATAAGCATTCAGCACGTAAATCCAAGCATTTTTGCCCTATGACTACAGACTGTATGCCAGAAGTTATTTATTATTTTCCATGGCACTGGGAGAAATGGGACATACAAAACAACCCTAACTATAATGGTTTTTTTGTTTGCTCGTGATTCTAATGTCTAAACAACATGCTCGTCACACAAGACATGTCTACACTCACCAAAACAGTTGCCACATTGTTTGGGAATATTTTTGCTGTCATGGCAAAAGAGGAGGTCATCGCAGCAGCAAAGCCCACCGCGTCGATGGACCTCACTACAAAGCAAAGACTAATAAAAGCGGGTCCTGCAGGAACCCGATTGAGTAGTCTGAAAGAAAAGATTGTCAAAATGGACTCAAAATAGAATGATTGATCGAAATTGTCTGACTAGTTGTTTTTACCACCAAATGAAATCAGTAATCCGCATTCAAACACTCAAATAAAGTGGAGAACACCAATGAATAAAGACCCATGTACATTGCTAATACAACACTGTGCTGTATGCCAGGTTCTGTCATTGTGTGACCTTGCAGTCATATAATTTACCGTTTTTTACAGTTATCTTAAAGGTGAGGCTGTTGTCATTCTATATTTGTATATATATATATATAATGATTCAACAAATGCCATGAAAGACCAACAATCTCTGCGGTTAGTCTGTCTACTTTCCCACCCAGTCTCTGGCTCTCAGCTCCAATTCCATTCATTCCTAAAGAAATCTGTAAAAACTCAAAAATATAAATATATATTGTTTCTCCTTCTTAAAAAGGCTAAAAAACTGTTCAAAACAGGTGGGCACTACGAGCATTATTCACTATAAAGAACATATGTTAGAATGATTCTGTATATCTGTAGATTAAATGTGGGGTCAGTTAATCTGGGGATCGATGGATGATTGTTGAGACTCTCAGCAGAAATGCCACCTGTTGTTTTGTGCTTCCGCATTACCGGAGTAACAAGCTCATATTTGACGCGTGGAACATCGAGAACCTCAACAATCAACCATTGTTCTTCAGAATGACCGACTCCTCCAATAATACACATGTGATGCACTAGTATTTACAGCAGCACGACGGTTCATGTGGCTTTGACTCGGAATAAACTTCAGTTCCTCCCATTCAGTATGTTGAAGGAACGTGTCACACAGTGCAACGGTGTGGTTCATTGAAGTGCTTTTGGACAACAATGGGGCGCTTTGTCACAAAGAAATAAGTTATATCAGGCTTTGACTACACAGACTTTTAAATATATTTTTTAGGGTCTTTTCGCCTTTATTTGATCGGACAACTCAAGATAGACAGGAAAGAGATGGGGCGACACATAGCACAGGGCTCCAGGGCGGACTCGAACCCAGTGCCGCTGCAGCAAGGACTCAGACTCAGTGAGCTACCAGGGCACCCCTAGTCAATACTTGTTTTTATTGATCGATTCATTTCTTGTTTGCTTCATCTTTTTGTTAGATTTGTTGACAGTAAGAGTATAGACTATTTCCCCACTTTACTGATGGGCAACCATCCACCTCAAACATAAAATTTGGCCTTAATCAACAAGTGCTACACTGAAAACACTGAGAAAGAAATAAGTTCTGCTGAATGAGCATATCAGCTTGTTTTGTAATTGACAGTTTCTATTGTTATAATTGTAAAAACTTAATAAAATATGTTACAATTGCTACAACTGTACATAATATGTTTCCGTGGCTGTCATTATTAGTAATAGTAATTATTTCCAGTGGCACAGAGGGACCAACACTTACCCAAACAGAATGGTGCAGCCTGATGAGACAAAAAGCCCTGTAACAAGCATCAACTTTGCACCGATTTGGACAATCTGATACAACAATAAAGAGAGATTAAATTACTGTACACCTGGGCGGCAAAATCGTACTTCACACATAACATGAACTGATAAGATGTAGTGTCATATACTTACATATTTTCCCAGTATCAATGAACCAATTAAATTGCAGACAGCGTAGCAGCCAAATATGAGACCAATGACAGTCTGACTGGCTCCCTTCTTCACTGCCTGTGTAGAAATATCCATGTAATGAATTTATATGTCTGAGGAGAAACGATTATTTCAAGGTACACTGTGACAGCAGATGAAATCCCACCTTCTAAGTAACATAAAAGCAATAAATAAGGCTATGAAATGTAGAAAAAAGTGAATAACACAAATGATCAATAAAGTGAAAACATGCTGAGATAACAGATCAAAAATAAATACAGTTATCAGAGAACAGTTCCTGTGAATTTGCCAATACCTATCCATATATATCACTCCACTGTGCCCCAAACTTTGCAGTTATTACACAAGATATCAGCTGATCTTACCTGAGACCTTCTGCTCAATGAGTATAACAGAGCCAGTCATTCACTGGCCTGCAGGGAGGCTTTCTGTCTAGCACATGATTACTCATTTATTCCACTGAGAGGACACTAGTACTGAGCTGTTAGAGGGAATTAGCGATGGCAGTCCGATCTATGAGATTTAGAATGACATGCACAAATGACGTGCTCTGTCCACAGAAGGTGGCCGTTTGGCCCCCAATAACACCATAAATGTGACACTATTTTTCAGTCTAAGAAAAGCAACTACTGACTGCTATCTACACCTCCAAATACTCATTAAACATCAAATTAATTATTGGACACATCCTTGACTGAAACAGAAGACTTCACTACCCTGACAGAAGTTATAATCTACTGTATCACATCTTTTACCAGCATTAAAAGTCTGTCTTGGGTAATACAAATAAATAGCGATGGAAACTGGTTCCAAATTGTCCGACTGATTCGAATCGTATGTTTCCGAGCTTATCAATTAATTTCTCAATGCTGGAGGTTGTGCATTGCAAAACAATGAAGTCAAACTCGTGCATCCAGCTGCTGGAAACTTGCAGACCCACATACAAAACTGATCAGGAATCAACAAGGGAATACATAAAGAGTCAGACCAATAAGCATTCCTATCCCTGTACACAAAAACAACCCATGCTTACATGCTTAAATGTTTTGTCAACGTCTGTCTGTCTGTCTGTCTGTCTGTCTGTCATCTATCTAAAAACCTTGAAAAGTCCTAAAAAATAAACTTTTAATGCACGTAGCAAAAAAATGAAAATTTTCTGTCACTAAAATGACTCATTTAGAGGTCTGTCCAGATGTTATACAAATCACCAGGACTGACAGTATGCACTCCACTCTCCTAGTATCTTATGTAATGATGTATATATTTGGGGAAAGCATATTATTCATATTACTGTTGTTTTATCAGATACATTCTTGCTGTTATACATTGTCTTGATTTTGAACAGGGTTCCTGTTTGATTATCTTGCTTCTGCTGTTTGACTACACCTCACTGACACAGTGTCATTTGCATTTGCCACAGCTCCTAGCAAAGGAAACAAACTTCACCGTGCACATTACCGTAAGCAAAACATTCAAGTCAGTGCTACAAAATGCATAAATAACGGTCAAGAACAAGAAAGAAAGCAATGACATACAACAGCAAGTAAATGTGTAAAGAAGGAACAATAATATATGGAGCATATCTCAACACATTTCTGGCACAGATGGAACTTCTTATTCTAGATGTTTGTTTTCTTTTTGCAGTTGTGTAGATTACAACCCCATGTTTTAACAATATAGGGGTTCACAAAAGGATGATATGATATTAAGTAGCAAATTGCAAATAGTTAATAATAAATCAGTTCTAACCTCATTAGAAGGGTTAAACACCAGTCAATGGGATTCTCACAAGCAAAAGTAAATTATTTATAACCATTAAAGCTCTCCTAGGTAACTTTTACTGAACAACAGCTACTGTGAGGAGTTATAGGATAATGATTCAGTTCTGTTTAGTTCATTTGTTATTTTTCAGGGACTGTGATTATCTCCTTTCAACAGAGTAGAGAAGAAAACAGAGCCAGAGTTAGCTAAGAAGGCGACATTCCACTAATAATCCCTGGTCTGATGACAACAACGACACCTCAAAAAATAGAATAAAATGGCAAATTCTAAAACTTAGCCACACATGCTTAAAACTTAAACCAAACTTATTTAGTGTGACCTGCTATAGAAGCTATAAAGCAGACATGTTCCATAACAATTCAAAGAGGTGCAGTTGCATAGTAGCTTCCCCTTTTTCTTCTGTTTTTGTTAACTTCATTTCACACTTTAACAATCTCACAACTAATTCTAGAATAAATCTAAACACATCTTAACTGAACACCTCCCTTTTCTCTTCCCCTCTTATTTCCCTCTCAGAATTTGATCAGTTATTGACTGGGTCCAGATAGGATGACAGTGGGGATGGCAGGTTACACAGAATGATCAATCTAAAGTAAGTAAAGTAAAGTAAAGTTAGACACCATACTGGTCATAGCAGGGAAAGTAGATAGCAGTAAAACCTCTGAGTGTGTTGATTTATCACTGATTAATTCAACTTTTCATTCATTAGAAAGGGAAAAAAGCTACATGGTCTTGCTTTAATAAAGCCAGAAGTTAAAGCTGTATTGCCTTTAATTAAAAGGTACCTTAAGTGGAACCCAAACCCTTAAACTCCTGTTCTCTTGACATATCATTTAAAGACTGATGTGGGCTTCTTTAAACTTACCTCATCGGGGAAAAATGGGCCTAATATTGAGTAGCAGATCATTGAACTGAAGTTGACAGATGCCATTGATATTAAGGTGAGAATCTGCTGTCTTGTCATCCTCGGGGGAGGATCTGTTGATTCAGCTGCAGCGCTGTTATCTGTGATAAAAATAACAAAAACGGAAATGAATAAAAGTGAAGGGACAGAAATAGGAATGATGAGATCTGACAATGCTCAGTGTGAAGTTAAAGTTTTAGGGGTTAATTCATCTCAGCCGTAAAAAAAAAAGTGAATTTACTGCCATTTATTGTGGTGATCAGACATTTATTACATAACGTTATATTAAATTAAAAAAGTTACCAACCTGCTTGCTGTGGATCCTCCTGTGGGTCCATTTTTTATTTTTTAAGGTCTCGTATCCAAATATTCAGGACATAAATTGAGACGGTAACATAACGAGGAGAGGACGAATCTGCAAAACATCAGCAGCAGACAGACAACCAGCTCCTGACTGTTCAGCCACAATAAACCAGTCTGTGAGAAAACACGCGATCACTCAGAGTATTTCCGCGTCAAACCCCGCACACACCATCGATAGACAAACCTCAAAACACACATTCCTCCACTGCTTTTCAAAATAAAAGCTCCGGCACGCAGCTTCCTGTGGCTGCAGCGGTTCAGCCTTCTTACCTGGGTGTTTGTAATGTTCTTCTTTTTAATGGTTTTATATGTGATTTAAGTTGTGTTTGTATATTAAATCGCTTTAATGAATGTATACATAAATAGTATTATATAATAAGGTATAATAAATGTTACTAAAGTTACTAACACAATATTACCCATACAAAAAAATATAAATACAAAAATTATAATGAAATTACAATGCACAAACCTCTCTTACAAACAAATTTGGTTTTATTTGGGGGGCTTTAAGCAGCAGCTGATATAACGTTACTATTCAACCCTGTGGGCCTCTTGACCTCGTGTAGTTCTCAGGACTGTTTTTGCCCTGAGTCAGGGCTGTAAGGCACTACTTGCCTCAGGGAAAGCTTAGGCAGCACCTTTCAAAAAGGAGAAGGGCTTCAGAAAAGGGGCTTTCAACAACTGAGGCCCTTCCTGATTCTACTTTCTAATCCACAGCATTATCACTATATTTGAAGGAGCTTGTTAGAGGCAGTGTAAGACCTGGTAGACACAGTCTGTTGACAGATACAAAACAGTATAAATGTACTGTATAGGCTCAATTCTAGACTATACTACAGTTTTTATATAAAAGGTCTACATTCATTTTACTGAAAATGTCACTAATATCAATATAATAATAATATAATATAATAAATATTGTTAACATCAGAATTAATCTCAGTATTATGATTGGTTTGTATGTGTTTTTGTTATAATGATCCTCTGGGAATAATAATTATTAATTTATATCGTTTTTAATGTAACAACAATAATCATTTAGTTATTACATATTACAGTTGTATGCAAAAACAATAATTATGACTCTAGACTGCCACTGTAGCAAAGTCATAACAATATATATTTGTAAATTTAAAAAAAAGTTAATCTTATATTCATGTATAATCAAATGCACTAATAAATGTACTAAAAATAGTATAAATGTTTACATTATAGAGATATTGTCTACAATTTATGCACAACTCAACTGATCCCTTCATAACTGCAAAACAAAGGGGGCTGAAGGAGGAAGTCTGTGTTGTGGGTTCCTGGGATCACAGACTTTGGTTTAGAAACTCAAAGAGCCAAACTGGAAATGAAACACCAAAAACAATTGGAACAATGTATTTTTTTATTACATTTTGGCCAGCCTATAGGTCAATGTGAACCTATGGTCGTATCATAATTGTTTCCTTCACAAATTAAGAGAAAAAAAAATCAGGCAACCAACTATTCATTAGGCAGTATTGCTGATAACTGACACACACCGTCGCTGAAGTCTCTGAAGCTGCATTAAATGAAAAGCTGTTAAATTAGAAACCCTCCACACCAGATTTCCTGTAGCCTCTTGTGAAATGCTTTCTTCATATACTTCAATTAGCAAATGACAAATGTCCAGACATTTCCACACTTGTTTTTTTTATACATTAGCACCAAATCTACATGAATTTCACTCCTACTAACAGTTAATCTTAACAACTCATGAATATGTTGATTTAATACCTTTGCAAGTTTATTGTTCTCAATCTTTTTTTTCTACAACATCAAAAAACTCTTGGTACCATGTAAAAAGCAAAGGTGAAGTACAAAATTGCTGAAATTAGCAACAAATAAGCACAATTTTCTAAGCATATAAGGATGTTAAGTCATTTACTAAATACACAGTGCAAGCAGCTTTGTATTTTCTTTTGCAAGTACAACATCAGTTCTATGTAGTAGCATTATTGCACACAAGCTCTATCTATCTAAAGCAGCACTGATTTCCAACGCGGCAAACTACTGATGTAGTAGCATCATAAACACCCAATGAAAACAACACAGAGCCAACCAAGTTTGAGAGTCACTGAGAGGATCTCAATGTTTAAGCAAAGTTTTGTCTGTGGGGATGGGACCGTTTCCTACCATCTTTCCCACTAATTCACCTTCCACCAAATGCATTCGGCTATTTGGCTAAATTTGGTACATGTAAACTTACTGTTGAGCATTACAGACAATTGTAGAGGGAAGTTTTCTAAATGAAAAAGAACATGTAAATTTACACATGAAAAAACAAATTAAATATTCTCAGATCATAACAGCTCTGACTAAATAATAATTTGCAGTAAAATGGCCAAAATAATATGATTTACTATGTTCATTGCACCACTTCATAGAAGTATCATGAATAGAAAATATACAAACAAGGGTAAACTGTACTCAACTCTTCATGTTGCAGTTACAGAATCAATATATTCTTCTATTGCATGTTCAGCAATTTGAACATAATGTAGAGGACATTTAACAAACAAAACAGACTAAAATTCAAAGCATTGCCTTGAACAAATGGGATTTGTATGAAAAATAAATATACAAATAAAGGTATTCATCATAAAACGTTATAATTTATTTACTTAATTACTTAAAAGTGAATTAAAATAGTGCAGTGTTTGTATCAGATATGGTATGGCTTTGTGAAAATGTATTTGCAATTTTGAACACCACCATACCTCACAATGTAGGTAACCCTAACAGCACAAACATGTGTAAAATATTCATTAATTTGATATACATTTAATTAGCCATCATTAAAGGAGAGAGAAGATGTCTTTGGCACCACGTGTGGTACTAAACCTCCAGACTGCTTTTAAAATCCATTCCAACATTTACTTTTTTTACCTTTTGTTTATCCAGAAGGCTGTTTTTTTTTACTTCACTAAATAACATTTGAATAATAAATAAAATTAGCTTGAGTACATTCAATGTATAAACTACAAATGATGGAGTAACTGGTTTAGTCTCAATGACCACCGACCTAGCCTGACTTTGCCTTCAACAGACTGATTGTACGTGATCTGCATGTGCAAGACCAACTTGTATATTAACCGGTTCTTTAAAAAAGAATCACCACAACTCTGACATTTTCCAAGCTATAGCCCCACACATCGGGGTGTAAAGACCAGTGTGGCTTCTTTTGATTTAGTCTACAACAACACAAAATAAGCTTTTCACTTCAGCCTTTGAGTCACATTGGCCAAGGCAACAGCAAATGCCTGCACTGCTGAGAAAGGATACTGGAAATCCAAGATATAGGCATTCCCATCAATTCGCCCAAACTGCATCACCTGAAAATTACAGAAAAGAGGTAAACATTTCAGAAAGCAAGAATTAACCAACACATCAACAACTTTGTAATTGATTCACCTGGATTACCGATTAAACTGCCAGTGAAATTCTGTTTTTTTTATAAAATAGTGAAAAATGCTGATCACACAACCAGAGGTGAGATATTTAAATTGCTTGTTTTGTCCAATCAACCACCCCAAACCCAAAGATATACAGAATGCTTTTAAATAAGACAAAGAAAAGCAGCAAATGACTACATCTGAAAAATTGAAAAGTGAGTATAAAAATAGTTGCAGATACATTTTCTGTTGATTGACTACAAGCAATTTACTAATCAGCTGATCACATTACCTGTCTACCATCCAGCTCAATTTGAAAATTCTTTGCGGACTCCTGCGTAACCCGTCCTCCAAAATCAAGCTGGTAGACCTGGGTGGCTTCGTTCCACAATGGCTGTTTATTGGCCATGACATAGACAAATCCTTGGCTTCCCAAACTACGGTCCTCTCTTTCGTTGGCTTTGCGGCACTTTATCTCCTCCAACTCACTTGCCATACGCATGCTGCGCTTGTTCTTCCAGCTCTTCTTACTACTCTGGTTCTGGTTCATGAGCTCATCGCCACTGATAAACAGCTCTGGCTCACTCTCTGAGCTATCCTGGAACTCATTTGTGGTCCTGCTCATCTTCTTGGTTTTGTTGAGTTGCTCTCTCTGTCCCTTTGGCTTTTTCTTCTCTCTGCTTCCAAGCCTTGGGCTAGAAATGAGAGTGTTGAAGTCAGAGAGCGCACGTCCCTCCTTTCTTGACTTGCCCTCAGAGACGTTGGGCATGTTGGCCTCCTCAGCTCTGCTGTCCAGTCTTTTGCGGCTCTTCTTGTTGAAGCGCTCTGACTCCTGCGGCACAGGGCTTTCGTTCAGGGATGATGGCTCTGGAAAGTTGTTGGCAGACTCTGCTAGATCCTCTGTGGCACTTTTGGATGGCGGTAGCTCAGTAGGTGGAGGAGGAGGAGGGAGCGGGGGTGGTGGGGGCGGCGCAGTAGGAGGAGGAGGGGATAGAATCGGCTTCTCTAAAATCTGATGGGTTTTGGTTGGGAGGGGAGGTGCTGGAGGGTCTTGCATGGGAGGTGGGCAGGGATAAGGATTCCAGGGGTGAAGGTTGACAGGGTGTAGCTGAAGTCCCGCACATGAGCTGGCTCCTGGGTACATTGGAGGGAGAGGGCAGCAGGCCAAATTAGCAAGATTTGGAGGATAACCTGGTGGCAAGACCAAGTTGGGTTCCTGCTGAGTGAAAGGGACTGAAGCGACCACGTCATTTGGAGAGCACTGAGGTGGAGGGTTCTGTAATGTCTGAAGTGGGGGACCACTGTGACCCACACCTGGGGGAAAAGGCGAGAGGGATATCTGGTAACCTGATGGAAAAGTAAGAGTGCTTGTGCTCGGACTGCTTGGAGGTTTAGTCGTGAGGACAAACGGTAGCCGAGTCATGTCCAAGTGCTGAGCTTGGCTAATGATGAGTGGAGGCGGTTTATGAGGTCCTGGTGGAGGACCTAACATTGTTTGTTCTGGGGTGAGCCAGAACTCCTCTGTGGTGGAGGCGTCCCACTGGTAAGGCGGAGGGCGTTTAACAGTCAAACTGACATCGCCGAGAGTCAGCTGACGTACAGACTTTTCAAGGTGACACTGCTGATTTAAAGTCTCATCTTCAGTAAAGGCAGAGTTAACGTACACTGTTCTGTCCCTGCTGTTATCAACAGCCCCCAGCAGACTGTAAGACGACTGAGAGGCCAGGGGTGAGGTACCTTTGGAGTG